CATAATGAAATTGTTCAACTGCTATTGGACTGTGGTGCATCTCAATCAATAAAAAACAAACTTGATTTCACTCCATTTGAAGAAGCCCGTTCACAAGAAGCAAAGAATATTTTTAAACGAACTTATGACTTATATTCACTGAGTCACTAACATACTCACATCTTTATACGTCTAATCTGTCTAAATATAACAGATCTCGTTAGACGCATTCAATATTCAGCTATAACTAATCTGAATCAAATTCAGACGCTTATTTCTATCAGAACATGACCAATGAGGAGCGATCAGAGCAGTTTTTAATTCTACTGTTACCGCAATGAAATATGCAAAGTACGCAAAGAAGCAGAGGTTAGCGTAAGGGACGCGTAGGACCAACTTTTCGAGATTCAAACCTGTCCGTTTAAAGGACTGAGTATCGTTGTAATGGGAAAATTGGTGATACGTTGACCATTGAAATTAGTTTAGTATCGACTCTATTGAGACGGTTTTCGAGTTTACGACGCTGAAAGCAATTGTTATTGAGCAATTTATTGAACTCATCTCTAACAACAATTATCTTTAGTTGTTTATTAAATTTATGTGGTTATAGGTTTTGGTTTACCTTACTCTTATTTCATTTTTCTTATTGAAAGAAAATAAAATGTTTTTTATTAAAAGTCAACAGGAAAACGGCCAGGCTTTGGCGTGGAACGAGGGATGTATGAAGTTTTGGACTTCATAAGAGACGCCACATCTTTAATAGTAAGGAGTAGTCTCCTCTTCTCTTCCGGCCGATCGCGAATTAGAAATTGTTTTGTAAAATATGAGTTGGTCGGGAACGCTTCGCTATAATAGCGACTTCTTAGCAATCGCGGCGTGAGATTTTAAGGCGAACGCGAACTGAAAGTGGACTTGGGATCGTGATCCATGGTTCCTTGACTATAAGTATTGGTTTTGTACCAGAAACAGATCCGTCAACCACTCAACATAGCGGTAGTGTATGTAACGGATATCCGCTATTCTCCTCAAACATTCTATTCTCATTCTATTCCTTCATATTGATTTATCTCATCACTTCCTATACGTGTTGGTAGTGTCCTGAAAATGGAAACATTCAGTGCCACGTCCCATTAAGTTCAATTTTTATTAAAAGTCAACAAGAAAACGGCCAGGCTTAGGCGTGGAACTTCGGGTGTATGAAGTTTTGGATTTCATAAGAGATGCCACATCTTAGTGGTAAAGGAGTAGTCTCCTCTCCTGGCCACGCTTTTAAGTCATTAAGTCTTTTTTTTCTTCGGTTTTTGCTGTTCGACATTTTTAAAAATGTCGGCTGTCTCGGATCGGATAGGTTAAATTTCTGCAATCGAATAGATAGTTGAAATCCGAAATAATGCATTTCTCGAATCGTAAAATCCCTAGAAGCATTTGACTGGATGCAAAAAACAGAGACGCACACAAGAAGAGCAAAATTTGTTTTTGATTCTTTAACTAAAGAATAGTTCTAAAGGAAAAATATAGAACTTTAAGAAGAATTGATTAAGAAAATGACCACTGCTTGTTTTGATCATAGAAAATCTATTTTCAGAATAATATTAAGTGATAATAAAAGATATTATTATTCTTAACTTTTCAGTAATGGATGAAGCGAAAATAAACTCGAAAACGTTTACCATGTTCTAGTATAAGGTTGAACTTATTCCTGCAGCAATTTCAGCTCGATTCTGTTGTCTCTGTTTAATTTAGGTTGAACGAACAATAACACTTGAGTTAGAGCAGATTAGTTTGTATGAAGCTTGTAAACAAAACAATATTAAACGAGTACAACGGTATGTCGAGTTGGGCAATTTCACAACAATCTAGTGGAAGCACTGCGTTACATGTTGCCTCTCACTGTGGCCATAATGAAATTGTTCAACTGCTATTGGACTGTGGTGCATCTCAATCAATAAAAAACAAACTTGATTTCACTCCATTTGAAGAAGCCCGTTCACAAGAAGCAAAGAATATTTTTAAACGAACTTATGCTGGACGTTTGTTTCTCGGAAATTTTAATTTTAATGATGATTATATCGAATGGGTACTTGTGAGTTCAGATCTAATTAAAAAAAGAGATTATTTTCGAAATAGTACAGACTCATGGAAACTGTTTGATCCACTAAATATAAGAGACACATTGGGCGAAATAATCAATTACTATCTGAAAGAATATTTGGTAAAAAACGAACAATTTTCCGTTGAACAAATCAACAATATTGAGTCAGACTTTGTGGATGCATTTAAAAACCAGGATGTTATTCGTTGCATTGTCAAGGCTTACACATCGGCAACAACAAATTTCTACAAAGTTCTCAATAAACATTTGGCTAAGCACATAATGAAGCATTTCGAGAATGATGGCGATTTTATTCCGGATTATCGGCTCGTCCATTGTCTGAAAAACATTGTCGCTCTGCTCATACATCACCCCGATTTTATTAATAATCATTTCATCGGTACAACCTATCGAGGTATGTTGATGACAGAAAATGAACTTAGTCGATATACTGTCGGCTGTCAAATAATGAATTTAACATTTCTGTCAACATCAAAACAACGAAAAGTTGCCGAAATGTTTGCCGGTGAAGGTCAGGAAGCTGCCATGCGTAAAACGTCAGACAATAAATATAAATAATAAAGGTTACAACGAAGAAGAAAATTTAAAAAATTGTGAAAAAATAGAACAAACATTAGCCAAAAACTTGGCATATCGAGCAGTTAAAAAATTAACATTGAAAGTTGTATTTACTATAGCTGGTTTAATATTAGTTGCAACTAGTGTGACTGTAAGAATAGTGCAAGATCAACACTGTTTTAGGTGGACTGAATATGGTCAGACAATCGCTGGAATAGGGTCTAGAGCATCCGGTCCAAAGTCATTGGTATTAGATCATCCCAATGATCTATTTGTCGATGATAAGAAAAATGTTTATGTAGCTGATGTAAAAAATCATCGTATACAGAAATCTTTCCTTCTTCAACCACCAAATATCTGCCCCAATTATTCACAAGGCATTGTTCATTCTCAAGTTATTGAATTTCAAACAAGTCAAAACACTGGTGTCCCCCCGGGACTCTTTCACACAGCATCTCACGCAGAAAGTGGTAGGTGCACCTCACAAAATTGACTTCTTTTAAAAATTGAGTATAGAACGAGATCGTTATACTATAACTAAATATTTTTGAAATATTTGAGTAACTCATTCCATAGGGCTCAAAAGGTTGTAATATGACCTTAGTTTCAAGGTTACTACTGTGAGCATGTGTGGTTGACACAGCTCCGAAATATCTGAAATCAAACACCAAGTAAATTTTTGAGTGTCGAAATTGAAAAAATATTATTTAGCTATATGTAACTGTTCATGCTGAATATTGATATTAATGACCAACTATCAAGCTCGTGTACTTATTCTTTGCAAATCTTTGTAAAATCACTTAGAAGAGTAGTTTGGTAACATTTCTCTAGTCAGTCACAAGCAATAACAATTCGATACAAAACAATGTCCCACATTCGCTTTACAAGAAGATTTTGATATGTTTGAAATTTGCTAATCCATCATTATTTGAGAGATTGGTTATTTGTGCAATATGACGATGGTTAGTGACTTGGATATGAGTCATTGTATGAAAAAAACGACTGCTTTCCATCGAGTCAATGTCTCAGATTCTTTTCAAAGTAGTCTCATGATGAAATTGGCAGCTCCGACCCCTCCCGGCTTCGGCTACACCCCCGCTTCGACTTAGGCGCGAGTTTTTACAACCGGCTCCAAAAGATGTTCATCCTTCCTTATTTTTTCTTTCAATTGAATTTTCTAGGCTTTCAAGTAACGAAAAATACTTTTCCGATAGAAAAAAGCGTCTTCTTCGCGATAAAAAGCTTATCGTATTCCTTGTCACACTGCGATATGTCGGGATACTGGAAACAGCTGAGAATGTATTGTTGGCGATTGATAATTTACTTCATGAGTTTAACTTAAAACTATATCGTGATGAAATACCATTTGTTATAGATCGGGGCAGTAATCTTAAAGCAGCGCTACATGACAATCAAATAACACATTGCTATGGGCATAGATTAAATAATATATTGAAAGATACGTTCAAAGATATGATTTTGACCACTGGTCAAAGTTAGCAAACTTTTAATAAAAATATATTGTTGTCTTTTCGTGGATGGTTTCCGCTTCAAAATGAGAATTGATCGAGACATTGATATTCAACAGTTTAGGCGTGGCATCGGATTTCACAAGAGACTAGGACCCAATATCGAGTACCTCGTTAGAACCATAAAAGCACATAAAAAATAGGGTTTATCACGATGATTCTCGTATCAATATTTACTTCCATTAAAAGCTTTGAAAACGTAGTGGAAGCTATTTTAAGTGAAATATTTTAGTCTTTTAATAGTTTTGCTACAAAACTGAAAGATTCCTCACTCACAATCGGTTTAAATACTTCAGAACTGCGAAATATACTACGTTTTAGCTGCATTATATAGTACTGTGGTTCAACATGCGAAAGGAATATGTAGTCGCTTCTCAAGTTTTTCAGAAACCTTGTAAGATACGCTACATTTTTTACATCCCCGGAGAAAACAACAAATTACTAGCGCACAAATACCTTTAATAACTCATAAAATGTCAGCAACGAATAAGAAACTAAAACGAGTATCAGTTGAATCAGACAGCGATAGTAATTCAAGTTCCGATGATAGTAAAGGATCTGATAGTGATGATGTGACGGTAACGAGAAATCATGTTAACACAAATAAGAATATTCATGATGATGTTCCTAGTAGTGGATTTACGATTTTAGATATGATTGCATCATGTAAAAAACCCGTTCGTTTTGTCAAAAAAAATGGTTTGAATCATCGTCTTCATCAGAGAAATGCTCACTGTTTAGTTCAAGAAACAACTACAAGGTGGATATCGTTATATCTGATGCTGAAAACAATCAATTTGAGTTATGATGCTCTAGCTGAAGTTTTATCTCCCATAGGTGGATTATCTCGTTTATCATGCATTAATCGTGTTATATTGCAAGAATTAGTTGCTTTTTTAAAGCCATTTAAAAAAGTTATTGTAGATATTCAGCATAATGACGCTACTCTTCACAAAGTTGTACCATCCACCTGGTATTTGAAAGATCATTGTTCAAGCTTAGTCATTAATTCACATTCTGGTATCAAATATTTCAAACAAAAGTTTTTAACAATTATGAATAATAAACTCGATTTAACAGACATTCATTATGCTGCTGCAATATTAGATCCAACTATTAGACAATTAAAAGGTTGTACAGCAGGTGAACAGGCAGGAGGACAAAAATTTTTGAAATGAAGACTGGACAAGATAACAAATCAACAATTAGCTTCCCCAATAGTATCTGATGTTGATGATGAACAAAATTCTGATGATGAGTACTATTTGAATCGATATTCTGATCAACAGAGTTGTGAGTAATTTGTTAATTAGTTATCATTTGTGACTGCAAGGCAAAACCGATAGTGTTAATAATTCTTTGACCCATGTTTTATAGCAAAAAGACGTGTTAATATAAAAAATATTGATTCGGGTCGGGTCAGGTTCGGGTAAAAAGTCTTTGGGTCGCGTCGGGTTTGGGTCATCCACGTAAGACCCGATTCGGTCTCTGACAGGCATGACCACATTCATTATGATAATTCTACTTTTCTAACTTTCAATTTTGAACTGATTGATTTTACTTTTTTAACTGTATAACAAATGCTCAGCTTAACTGCTAAAAGCCTTATGAATGAGATCGACGAAGAAATTTTACAAACAGTGAATAAAACACTCATTAATAAAATAAAAAACAAAACTAAAAACTTCTGTACTACGTACAAACAAACATCATAAAATTATAAAAAAAGCATATCCTTCATGATTAAAAATTTTAAATAGGTTTATGCAAAAAAAATGTCTGATCATGTTTATGATCTTAATGTTCCATCTGTTCATCAAGACATATAAAATGAAGCTAGACTTATTTTGAGCCTGTCTGTATTGATCTCATTCTACACAAATTTTATAATCAGCACTATAATCTAGGCCAAGAACAGGATCTCTGGAGGGAAGATATTAGTAAAATAAGTCTAGTAATGAAACGGATGAGCCCATAGAGCTCATTGACGTCTCATTTATAGAGAAATGTTTGCTCTACATCTGTAATGACTCAAAAGAAATTTCGTTCATTCATATCTTTGTGATTTGTATCAAAATTTCGAAAAGTAACAAAATGATGAAACGTATACCTATGTCCAATATCTGATCCCATGCCCGTGTTTTAAAATGCTCTATTGTAGATGAATCGATGCAGAATTGTTTGCTCTATTTGTTTTGGGACTGCCATATGCGTGGTCTTGTCTTAAAAATACTAAAAAAACTGCATATTTTAAAATATGAAATTTTTTAGTTTTCTATTACTTATTCCTAGATAGTTAAACATATTACTATGTCTAAATACACGATCCTATAGAGTAAACATCGCTCTTTTCAAGTGAGCCATGAACCAGTCATAGGAGTTTGATAGTTTTTGAGAAAATCAAAAAATACAAAGATTAGTGAAAATTCACGTTTTTGAATGCATCGGCGACTCCCAACAGAATGTGTTGTCTCTAGCCTCTTAACAAAACACTTTCAGAAAGAGTTATTACAGGGTTAGTGGTCATTTTGTACGCTCTTTCGACTGATATATGAATAATTAAAAAAAGAATTGGGCGACGGCCGACCTCTTAGCACTTAGTTCGATTTTTTGGCGAAGGCTCGCTTAAAAAGATTCTAAGACTTGATTACTGGATTGAGTGAAATAAAATCGTTTCCTTAAGAGATTTATTTTATTTTATTTTTTTTATTTTATTTTATCACATTATCATTGTAAAAATATGCTCAATGAAACAATCATCTTGGAGATGGATGCGCCTCATGATCAATTCATCACTGGTATGTTTTCTACTTTAAAGTAATACAACTCTCTTTTTGCATTTGTACATTACACAACTGTGCTTTTTCTAAGACAGATATCATGTCACTATATTGTTTCTAAGATACCACTTTTCCTTTTTCTACCTAGAACAAACACGACCACGCCGTCATCAACATAATCCTAGATTTTACCGTCAACTAAATGAATCGTGCGTCTAGCCATGCACCGGTTAAAAACCGATATTTTTAGCTTTTTTTTGACTTAGATTATATGGAGAGTATGGCATACTAAATTTTCTCACAACTGAGTTTTGTAGAGCAAACATTTCTCTATAAAATGAGCTATGGAGAATTTTTCCATCTTGTCTCGTTTCCTTGCTGACACCTTTCTACTTGCTGAGTCCCATTTATCGGTTTCGGTTACATAACCGAAACCGATAAATGGGGCTTTTGTTAAATATCTTTATTATAAGTGCTGGATCGAGATGAAGCTTGTTCTTATAGTTCATTTTGTAGAGAAATGTTTGCTCTACAAAACTCCGTTGTGAGAAAAATTTAATATGCCATACTCTTCGTACAATTTAGTTTTTGCGACAAGAGGATAAAAATATCGGTTTTTAACCGGTGCATGCCTACTTGCGTCTTCCATAGTCAAAAACTCAAGAAAAACAAGGTATCAGAGAATGGCCGTCATTTTTTTGCGTTGTAGTTTCAAAAGACGAGCCAAAGCTTTTTGGATTCAGCATTAAAACCTGAATAAGAAACAGGTCTTAGAACGTTTCTAGAACCAAACGCCTATCCGCGAAAAATCCCGCAGTTTGCGAGGCCCAAAAACCGAACGCGATTTTGCAAACCTAACACAGGTTCTTCTAAAGGTCCTAGAGTCCAATGTTTTACATGGTTCGATTCGCCAGAGTCTCCTCTTTATCATCACTCAATAATAATTCTAGGTCGGACGCTGATGTCGACGAGCGAGATGAATAATGAATAAATTCTGTTGATGTTTGTTCTGTACATTTTGCAATAAAGTGAATAAACGGTCGAATGTTACCCATATTAGCCGTATATAAAGAGTCATAATAGGTTAAACGCTCTGAATCTTTTATAGTTACTGGTGTAAATCCGGATCTCATTAAAACTAGATTCATCAACAAACGTGCTGTTCGCCCATTACCATCCAAAAATGGATGAATAAGTACAAGTTTATAATGCACTAACGAAGCCAGTATAATAGGATGTAGATCACGTGTTTCTTCAACTGAATTCAACCATATTAAAAATTCTTCTAAATATTCTTCAATTTGAAGAACCGACGGTGGGATTAATGAGCATACATACACTTGATCACGGCGTAGGTGACCGGCTTCCACTGGATCAACAAAGCCTTGAACTCGACGATGTATATCTAAAATATCTTGTTTTGTTATTAAACCCGAACGATTGACTAATGTACTACTAATATATCGTAAAGCTACATCCATACCGGCAACTTCCTGTTGTTCTAATAAATATTTACTACCAATGGCCAATAGAATCTTGCTCATGTGAAGTATTTTACGTAAATTTATGATATAATCTAAATAAATGACCATGAGTAAAACGCACAAAAAATAAGAATATTGTGCACATGTATATTTTTTGCTTTAATAATGGCAAATAGAGAGCTGTCGACACCTCGGCATATGTGCACTAGTTCAAAAGTACCGGAATCTCTGTTCAGTACCCACCTGGTGCCGATTTATTTCGTGTTTTTAGTACCAGTACTATCTTGAAACCGAAACTTTAGTATTGTTGAGATCCTAATTATGTTTAAGCTAAATTAATTAGACTGACAAACACATTTCTAGCCTATCGGAGATCTTGACCTCGTTTTTTAACGTAAATGTTATTACGTAAAGGTAAAGTTGCATGAAATTTTTCATTGCTTTTAATCAGTTTTACGATAAATCTCAGAACCTGTCTTTTGGCATCTTTGAGAAACATTGTACCGAACCTTACGGTAGCGCTACTTCCCTAATGACAACTCATCAAATCTTGTTCAAGTAATATAATTCGAATATATGAAGCATGGGCAATAATACAGTGAAGAACATTCCTGCTAGAACCATTCTCATTCGATTCTTCATACAAAAACAGACGTCTGAGAATCTGGTTTCAAAGTCTAGAAACGCTTTCTGCACTACTTTTTGGTTATAGTAAAAGTTGTTTTAATTATCCTGTCCAAACAACAAGTTGAATGTGAATTTTCGAAGAAAGTAGTTATCGTCACCGCTACTCACAGGTATTGCGCGGAGTCTTAGAGATCTCTCGTACTAGCTAAATTGCACGTTCGGGCAGCAATATTGCACGCGTCCCAGTTTCTTTATATACCACCTTTGAATGACAATTGCACTCTTGGGACAGAATGCTCGGGAAAACTTTTTAAATCTTTATTCGTCTTACCACATGCTTTAGCAATTACATCGTGTTCACTTGTAGTGAGATCATTTCTGCTGTTTCTAAGGTAGCATTGAGTAAACCAACAAGTAATACAATCTTCTATATTTCCATCTTGATTCGTGCAATCATAATCAACAATTCCAGATACATGTGCGAAGCCTGGATAGCCGCAATCTTCATTCTTTAGTAATTCTTTACATCTCTTGTATGTATTCTGCGCCCCTGTAAGAAGAAGAGAAGAAAAACAGATAATTATACTCAGGAGAATTCCACAAAGCAAAAGAACGCTAACTGATAGCGGCAGCCGTGAACAAATTAACTGTCCTTGCTAGACGTGCGCAAAAGTTTCACCAAATGTATGAAATGCAGAACACGACTTTAGAATGAAGCTAAGCCTTAACCAAGGCCGGCAATGCTGTATTCGTAGGCACATGGGATACTGTACAGTAGTATCATCCTCGATTATCGGTAGAGACATATACTTTTTTTTAATGTGTTTCGCTATCAGATTATCTCTTATTCTCAGCCGTCCAAAACGTACTACATTGTGGTCTCAGACGAATACTAACGGACGCCTCACAAACTGAACGAGATAAAGTCATATTCGTGTAATTCATCTTATATAGTGTCACAACGAACACGCTTACTTACCTTTTCCGAAACTTAAATGACCATCAATCTGTATTAAATCATCACTATTACCCTTGGAAGCAGTGGCAAGAGGGTCGTTAGCTCGGGTACTTCCTTCCAACAGAACCACATCAAAATCAGCATCTGTGTGCGATGTGTGACATACATGACTATATACATTAATCGATAATACTCGAACCATAGTTAACTCAATAAAGAACAGAACCACGCCTGACTGCTGCATAATCCTTTATAGAACCAGGGCTAAACGCATAGAAGATTTATCAAATACCATTCATTATAGTTGCTGCTGTTTCAACATTTCTACTGTTTTTCTAAAAAATAGACAAAGGATACGGTAGATCAGGGAAGTATATAACTTAACCCCATACGTATACGCAGGTTGCAGCAAAACATTTTTACGTAAGGCGCACTAAATTCAAACTTTCCACACCATTTTATTCTTGGCTTAATTATACGTCACTCGATAGTGCTCGCCGAGCTGATCAAGAACATCTACGTAGCGGCGGTACCAGGAATTGTAGCCAGGGTGGCCTAAGCCCGACTTTACTCGGAAAGGAAACACGGTAGTGTTTATTTTTTCCAACCAAGTTAATTTCTCCCCCTACCTACGTGAGGGTGGGCTGAGCCCACCCTAGCCCACCCGTCGTACCGCCAGTACATCTACGTTTTAGCTTTTCCAAATCGGTTTCTGCATGAAAAATCTTCAAAATACCAGAAGCATCAAAAAATTTCGAAAAGCCCTTCGGCTTCAAAAAAAATTCAAATTATTTTCTGGTGGA